TTGTGAGATATGACGTACGATTCTGAAATAGTTGGGTATCGATATTTGACGATTTCGATACTATACAATTAAACGTCTTGCTGTTCCAATCAAACACTAAACCACCCTAGATCTAGATCTACAAAGGCCAGTCCTATCTCTGTACACTGCATGCAGTGTCCAGCTAACACAGCGGTTCTAGTTAGTCATTAGTAAGTTATAAAAAATTAGGGAATGCCTTTCTAGATCTAGATCTAGACTAAGAACTAGAAGGAGAGGCAAGTCTAGGCCTAGGCCTAAGTCTAAATATCTAGATTCAGATCTAGTCTTTCTCCTTTAGGAGACTAGGTGAGTTTTGTTAGGTTCTATACGATACAATATCTAGACCTAGAGCTATATTTAACTGACCAGAATTCACCTACGATAAAATATCAAAGCTATCTAATCATTACCTTATGTTCTGAATCCAGATCAAGGGCCAGATCTACAACAAGTTCCCCAGAGATATCCAGTTTCGCTTTAGCGAAAAAGACATAGATTTACAATATATACTGAGAGCGAGAGAGTGAGAGAGAGAGAAAGAGAGAGAGAGAGAGAGAGAGAGAGAAGAGAGAGAAAGAGAGAGAGAGAGAAAGAGAGAGAGAGGGAGAGAGGGGGGAGAAGAGAGAGAGAGAGAGAGAGAGAGAGAGAGAGAGAGAGAGAAAGAGAGAGGGAAAGAGAGAGAGAGAGAGAAAGAGAGAGAGAGAGAGAGAGAGAGAGAGAGAGAGAGAAAGAGAGAGGGAAAGAGAGAGAGAGAGAGAAAGAGAGAGAGAGAGAGAGAGAAAGAGAGACAGAGACAGAGAAAGCGAGGAAATAAGAGAATGAAAGAGAGAGAGAGAGAGAGAGAGAGAGAGAGAGAGAGAGAGAGAGAGAGAGACCCTTTGCCACTCTGTTTCACGCATTATCTCTCACTCCCAAACTGAAAGAAAAAAAAAATGAACATGCGCTTGAGGGCATAACAGTTACACGTATACAGGCAATGGGGTTTGCTGAGATGAGTATGAGACGTGAAAGTGAAAAGCCTTCATTTGACGAAAGTTAAATATAAACATTAATTTGAGAATGTTACAAAAACCAAGTTTGTAAGAAATATCTGCAGAATAATGCTCCTCATCAAAATGGTCATAGACATTGCCAGAAAGAAAGCAAAACTCAGACGACTACAACATCTCAAAATCGCAACAAAAAAAAACAAACCCCAACTACAAACAAACTGTATTAGATACCAACGTAATACTGTATCGCAGGCTGTTGTGCTGAGCGATAATTAAAAGACCAAAATTGTTGTGGGTCAAAACAGTGGAGTGCCACGCACACTTGAGAGACCATACTGTAGGTGGAGCTTCCGGAAACAGACATCGGTGGACTCAAAACACTAACAATTTGTTACTGGTGAAATCAAAAGTGAATGTGAGACTGAGTCACTCGCAAGGCAAGGCACCGTATGTTTAGTCTCTGGAACAACTGGAATCAAAGCCTTATATCGTCTCTCCCATTTGCATATGTACAACAGTATGGATAAGCTGAAGAAAGCGTTGAGTGGCAACGATGAAGAAGAGGACAAGGGAATTGTCACACAGGTAAATTCAATGGCCGCAAATTCAATTGGTGAAAACTCAACTCTCCTAACTCTCTGTCTCTAGGTCTAGTCTAGATTTTAGATCTAGATATTAGAATCTAATCTAGATAGATCTAGATCTAGAACTAGATCTAGATATCTAGCCTATTCATATCTCAATCTCAGGGACAAATTCCATAACGAGAGCGACGGCTAGGGTGAGAATAGAAATACGATCGACCTCTCACCCCGGGTGAGACTTTCCGCCGTAGGCTATTCTCACCCGGTGTGAAACAAGACCTGTTTTTCCTAATTTCGGAATACTTTCTATCGATGTGGATGATCAAATGGATAAAGGCAAAGAAAAGATTACGTTATAGCACAAAAGTAAGCTAATTTTATCGACTACAACAAAGATGCTATGGCTATTTCACTTTTCGAATCGAGCCGAACTACGGGGGTCGCCATTTTGTTTTGCCCGGAAGTTCTCGCAAGATCTACTCCTGCCCTCTTCTCTCTCTCTATCTCTTTCTGAATACTGTCTATCGGTGTGGACGATCAAATTGACCAATTTTAACAAAGCTAAAAAATGATGGTAAAACACAAAAGTAAATCAATTTGGTCGTCTACAAAGATGCTACGGCAATTTAACTTTTCGAATCGAGCCGAACTACGCGGGTCACCATTTTAATTTTGTTTTGCCCGGAAGTTCTCGCGCTACTCCTCCTCTCTCTTTCTCTCTCTCTCTCTCTCTCTCCACTGCCCACAGACAAAATTGCACGCTTTTAAAGTAGGCTAACAGTAGTAATGGAATGTTTGTTCACAGCACAATTTTTCTATTATCACAGTGCAGAATTCTGTGGTTTACGGTGAAAACGCAAAATTGGTTGGCCTAGATCTAGGCTATAACTGTGAACGCGCACCGGGTGAGAATAGCCAAAAGACTCGCCTGCACTATTCTCACCCGCGGTGAGAATAGAGGTGGCCTTGGGGTAGGGTTTGGCCTAGGTTAGGTCCCTTCTTTACATGGCCCAAATGTAGGCCTAGAGATTATGTATTTCTGTCATCTATTTTTGTCGTCTTCCTGTACTTCCCTTGCCAATTGGGGAGGACTTCCGTAACGAGCGACCACTATGAGACAGAGCAGAATTGAAGGCTTGGGGTAGGGGTAAGGGTAGGGTTAGGTCTAGGCCTCTTCTTTATTGTGTTTGATGGGGTGGTCGCTCGTTACGGAAGTCCTTCCGCCAATTGACTGGGACCTCGACCTAGAATCTAGAGATGTCACCTCACCGTTGTGGGCCCGCTTTGCCGCAAGGCTTAGATTACAGTGTGTTTGTTGAGGTGGTCACTCGTAAACCGTAAACAGTTCAGAAGTCCTTCCCTATCTCAGACAGATTGTCTCTACTAGATCTAGATTCTAGATCCACTCTATAGTAGTACAGTAGTCTCCGCCTAAGATCCCACCGCTTACGATCCCGGTTCGCTTAAGATCCCGTTGTTTTAGGAAAACAGAATTTTTACTATACAAAAGTCACCCCTAAGATCCCGCTCTGATGGTCTACATTCGGCTAAGATCCCGCATTTCAGATAATAATTTGCGAAACAAAAACCCGGGCGGGCACAGCTGATCAACCTAGAGTGAAAAGTTGAGATCAATAAACTGTCCGTCGCGTCAAAGATCAACCACTATCGTGAATGTGATCACATACACATTGTAAAACTCGATGAAGCGATACAATGTTTGCCCCAGACGGGATTACACCGAGGTGTGAACTGACCGCCGCGTTTGTTTTACCCACGCATCACACTCATACCTGAGCTCGCCACCTAAACTTGCATCA